AAATCCATCTACCACACTTTCCACTTTGGAATATTTTAAGAATCAGAATGCTTGCAAGTAGTGTCTTATGCTGGTATATTTGTATAAAACAAACAATGCTACTCAAATACAAAACATTTCAAATTCCTCCAGCATTCAGTTAGAGGCCATTTTTGCCAATTTGAATTAAATCCCCAAACTACTCAACCTTGAATACATTTGTAACAATTGGAGGTGCAAGAGATTTCCTAATTTCTCTTGTGGAAAAAGTGAGAATAATGCATTTTTAGCTTTAAGGATTGTATAATGTTTGAGGTCTCAAAGGATATGAAACTCATTTAACGAATAAATAAATAGTGGGATAATTCAAATATCAAGGAGATATTCCCCAAAGAACAAAACTCTCTTTGTTAGGTAGCGGTGTATTAAAACACAGTGGACAAAAATCATGATCAGATGAGATTTATCCTGATTGAGTAAGTCAGACAGACTCAAATAGCTTTCCTCTTAAATTCATTTGAGTCTTCCTAAACTTTTGGAAATGTGATTATTTGGATTACAAGGGATTATTAAGTGCATATTGAACAGGAAATGTATCAATTTAATGCCTAAAGTTTGAAGATGGGTTATGTCAGTGAGGTAGAACACTTCATCTAATTGGATTTATGAAGGGACTGTAGTGATAGCTTTAACAAAATATTCGTGCGAGGAAGAAGAGACTTCTTGTGTAATTGTTATTTATCACCTTTTTATAGTGTACCTACTTGCTTCATGAACAAATTGATCCCAATTTTCACTAAATTTGTGAGGAAAAATGCTATTGAGAAATGACAAAAAGAAAATCACAGTACATGTGAAAACCGTTTTCAGTGATGTTTCAGGGGCAACAGATCTATTGGTGTTAAGCACGTAGTGATTTTCATTTTCTTCAATTTTACTTGATAATGAGTTTTGTGGAGGTAATTTTTTTTTTTAACTTCATTGTACTTGTCAAACCATGTTCTTAATAATGATTTGTGTGTTATTTTTCTGTTAAAACCCTAGTAATAACTAGAACAAAATTAAATCATTTTAACGATTACGAATTATTAACAACAACAATAGATGTAGATGGTTATTCAAATTCAGTGACATTTAACACAATGAACTCAAAGGATTCGTGAGACAGATTTTATTGATTAATGAAAAATAAGAATATACAACTTGGGTGATGTGTGAGAATCCCATTAAATCACACAATGAAAGTGTTCATGTAGATACATTGTGGTTCAAATAAACCATTGAATTCTCGATGCTAGAAATTGTTTATATTGGGAGAGGGGGGTATTAAACTCAAGTCTGACAAGCTTCCAAATGTGACTGTAATCTGAAATAATGAATGCAACATTTTATGATCTCTTTTCAACAAAATCATGACAAATGCAATTTACTGTACAATTATTACTGCTTTAATATCCATAATAATTGG